CAGTGGTACTGACCTCGGTCGGGCCTTTTGAGTTGTCTATCATCTGTATTCTCCCTTTCTGTTCTGTCTTTCTATTTACCCTTTTGTTTGTATTTCCCCTCATCTGTTGGACTCATTATGCCTCTCCTCGTCTCTGCCCTCCATTTCTTATTCATGCTCTTTTATTTATATTCCCTCTTTTCTTTTGCTCCTGACAAACTGTTGTCTAGAAGCATCAAAGGCCTTGTAATTTAACCTGAACCACTCTTACACACACACACACACACACACACACACACACACACAAAATCCTTGAAATGATGGAAAGACTCTCAAGACAGTCCTAAAAGCTTAAAACCGTTTTCAAATATCTTCCATCCAGTATATATAGACCTGATTCAGAATCAGGGGAAGGACAGTGTTGTGTGCTGCACTGCTGTATATTCAATGCAAGGTGAGTTGTATAATATGCATCCTTTGTGCTTTGGAGTACATTGATTTTTTTTCCCTTTTCTGCTCAGTCATTATTAGAACAGAGGGTTGCCTCTTTTATTTTGGCATTCAATTCTCCACTGCTGTGAAAACATCAAATAAGATTTGTGTTAAACCTGCAGATGTTTACATAAATGTAGACATAAATTCAAACTCACACACTGTCCCTTCAAAAAAAACATGTATACTTGTTCACTTGCACATAAATAGTGACGAACCACAGGTGTGGACAGCCTTGTGTCTGTTACAGAGACACCCACAGCCACTCAGGTTACAACACACACACACACACACACACACACAGCAGGTAGCCTCAGGGCTGCCACAGAGTGGTGGCAGATGGTAAGTGCTTCTGCCCGTATCGCCTCTTAATGACAGAGCCGCTGATCACTTCAAACAAGCCACTCGGAGCAAAACTTTCCTTCTGTTGGTGGAGAGATGCTCAAGTCACTGAGCAGGTACCCTGGAGAACTATCCAGGACTCTGCATGCGAGTGTGTGTGTGTGTGTGTGTGTGTGTGTGTGTGTGCAAATGCAATGTGTCTTTCAGCTTACCCATCAACTTTATGTGTGTGTTCAGACATGCACTGATTTGTGTGTGTGTGCGTGTAGGTGTGTGTGTGTGTGTGTGTGTGTAAACGTGTGGCAGCTCTGGAGTTTTCTTGCCTGGCTGTGTGGAACACAGCAGATGTGCTCAGTTCTCCCCTGAGGATGCCGCCTCTCTCTCTTCACTCTCTCTCATCAAGCTCCCTCATCCGTACATACCCTCCAATGTTTATACACCGCTGCTCTTCACATAATAAGCTGACTTCAGTACGTATCCCTCCTTTCCTCTATCTCTCTCCCTCCATCCTCCCGTGCCTCTCACAACACGCCATTTTTTAACCATATCTTGATCAGATCTATATGTTTGCTGGGTGTTGTTAACACACATCCACACACACACATAAGCAGCATGGTTTTAAGTGGAAGGGTTTAATTGTGCCAGGATGGTCAAAATGCTTTTTAAGAGGCTCTTAGTGTTTTTCAGAACAATTCTGGAGTTAACAGCTGACACTTTAAACGTTTTGTATCCTTTCACATGAAAATGGTCCCATTTAAAGTAGAGATTTACCCAGGGTATAATATGAGGTTTTTCAAAAGAGGGGTCTCAAACTCAAATTACATGGGGCCCGCTGGTCCAGTTCTCCAAGGGGGCCACTTGAGCACTCTGTGGATGCAAAAAAAAAAAGTGGTGACAAGCTATTCAGTTAGACTCAACTTGCTAAATGTTAAAGGAGCTGTATTTAACATGCATAGCATTAATATAGCAGCAAACAACTATTATATATGTAAAGATATGGTGGAGTAATGTCTACCTGAGCAGAGAAGTAAGTCGCTCTCCCTCTGTGTGTGTTGTTATCCGAGCTTCTCTTTGCTTTGTTGACATAACCGGGCTGGCCGTGCATAGTTTGTAGTGCATGTTAGTGCATGTGAGCGTGCTCCACTAGTTAGCTGCTCTGATGGCGGTTACAACTGATAATGCTGTCTGATTTTTGACTTTTGTCGTAGTTTGCATTTTAGCAACGTTAGCTATGAGCCTTTGGCTCGTTGTCGACATGTTGAGAGCCCTTGAGAGGCAATCTAAATGCTCCCAATCTTGGATCTTGCACCTTGCAAATGAGAAATAAAAGCACATTTTATGCTCCAATTTTACTGGCGGCCAGAAAAAGTAGTTATTACTCTAAAATATAAGACTAGAAAGAAAATGAGATTGGGAAAAAATATTTACTTTGGGAGGCTTTTTCAAATAGTCACAGGAGAGATCTCTGGCTGCAAAGTACAGTATGTGCCCAAGATTATTGTTTGTCTTGATTCTAGTGCTACCATTTGTCTAAAATTGGTAGCGTTTGCGTTCCGTTGACAGCAATGTTGATTTACTATGAAAATTTGAAGCATCACTTGTGTGCAGCAGGTACAGAGAGAGAGAGCACACTGTATTTTTGAAGCCAATAAAACTAAATCTTCAAAAAACTGGCTTTAGGTTGAATGACTTTGGTTGAGGGGGTTCAGCAACAGGCCTCACTTCTAATCTCCCTTTCTTTTCTTCTCTCTCTCTCTATCACACACACACACACACACAAAGCTCCTTCATCCAGTACATATTGCTGCATGTCTAAAAGTCTATTTAGTCCCAACTAGGCCACAGCATCACATGAGCAGTTAGTCACACCATAAATCACACCAGTTCCTGCCGTTCCCTCCCTGGATTTCAGCTGCTATTTTCAGTCGGGGGAAACAGCGAAAGAAGTGAATATATTCAAGCTGTCAAAAAACAAAAAAAGGAATATTCTTATTCAATTTATGAGATCGCATTACGTGCAGCGCAGGCTGTCGTCGCCACGCGTTGTGCACACGTTCCATCAGCCCAGATAAAGTGCGAGAGAGAAGACAAGGTGACACTACAAGCAACAAGAGTGTGGATAATGAAAACTAAACACCATCCTTTCTCTCTTTCCTCCCGTCTTGCATCTGCTCTGCACCACTAGTTTGTCTGTATGCTAGTCGGGGGATTTGAACGGCGTGTGTGTGTGTGTGTATTTGGGCGTATTTATGTATGTGTGTGTGTGGGAGTGAACAGCAAAACAGTGGGTGTATCTTTTTTTTAAAGTTTGGATGAAAAAAAGTCAGCTCTGGTTTTTCAACAAACCCTGCAGATGGGACCGCGGAGAGACCATTTTGTGATTTTCTCATAATGTTTTTGAGATTGTTTGTGTCTGTCGGCAAGTGCGAAAATCAGAAACAATCCAAAAATGTGGGCACTCCCCAAACGAATCAGACAGCCCTGAGATAAATCACATTGAGTCAGCTAGGATCAATAACTGGGTTAACAAGGAGGCTGATATTCCGTTAATACTCTTGAGTGATCGTCTAATCAGAGTAAAAGGCCTCATTTAGGCTTTTATTAAAATGTGATTTGCATCAAGATGTGCAACACGGATAATGAACAATGTAATCACACCTGCAGATTTACTCCCATTATCAATGTTCTTTTGCTCTGCATTCTGTCCACGTCGGCTCTCATTTTCCCTTTTGCACTAAAGTCTGACTCTAAACCCCTGTTTGGTTGTGTATAGGTGCTCCGTGTATATAGCCTTGATTAAGCTGCTCTCTTCTTAATGCTGCAGTGCTGAGTGTAGGAGTTCTTCAACAAGCGTTAGTCTAAAAGCTGTGTCCAATTGAGGCAAAACACAATTTAGGTGGTTTTACAAAAACAAGATTAGCTGATTTTTTCTCAATTTGAAAATTGCCATTCTTAATGGAACGTTGTGTGTTGAACAAGTGTATGAATACAAACCTCTTGGCGACTGGCTCGATAACAAACTGCCTTTTAACGCTCCCATTAAAGCAATGGCTGATTGAAGCGGTTGACGGTTAGTTTCTTTTATAGATAACAAAAGGTTTAGATTGTGCAGATTGTGCAGACTTGCAGCCATTTATATCAGTGTGAGATTATGGTTTCATCAATATAGCGCTACTTTAAAAGCTCTAGATGCTGCCTTCGCTCTGCTGTTAGATTCATAACTTTGACAGCACACGTCACTGCACTCTTCATCAAAACAAGGGCTGGAAGGGCAAGTGCAATATTGCTTCTTGTTTATTTGCACAGCTTCTCTAAATAGAAGACCACCTTATCTCTCCTCTGACATGCAGATCTGGAACTTATCAGGCTTGCCTTGAAGACTGGCTTCTGCTCTAGGTTCTTAAAGTAAATACAGAGCTTTTGAAGCTTTCGGTGCAGTGTTCCATCCTGCAGGAATCATTTACAACAGATCCTAAAGCTAGATACCTCGGGTAGTTTCGGCAAACTTAATTATGAGTTATAACCGTGGGAGCTTTTAGTACGAAAAATGCTTTTTTTTTTTACATCATTGATGTTTTGTTGATTGCCAGCCAGACAGTGAAGCTGGTATTTTGTTCACCTTGTGAGTCTTGAGTGTGAGTCAGCGGGCCTGAATGTGGTCCTGCAGACACCTACTGTAGGAACTACCACAGAGGCAGTTTTAAGTACTTCGGTTCGGTGTTTATATTTCTGCAAGATGCGGTCACGAAACTGTATAGATGTGATCAAAACGAAGGCCGAGTTCAAAGATGGGTGTGGCCCGAGCAAGGGTCCCGGAAGTAGGGGGGTCCTCAGTGTCCGAGGTGCCTCTGTAAAAATGTTAAATTGAGCAGGAACTTTCACATGTTGCGAAGCTGAAAGCTTTGTATACGACACACAGCTTGTAATGAAAAGCAAAGCTGTGGGAGAAGTCCACCATGTACCGGACGAGCAGAATGGACGACATTGAGCTATAGGTGGTGGAGTAGGCGAGGCTCGGTGGTGTGAATAAGATGAGACATCAAACATTTCCAACAAGGGAAGTGTGAAATGTTCTTCTCGGGTTTTATTCTGTCATCTGTCAACAGATCAGTTGAAAGGAAATATGAGCAGTTCTGCAGCTATGTATTATCAGCAATGTAACGATGCCCCTCTGTGTCTTTATCCAGATGTTTTGGACAGCATGGCGAGGTTCAGCATTCAGGGAGTGTTCAACTACAGCATGCTGACTCTGTCTGACCACGAGAGGGTTTTGTACGTCGGAGCACGGGAGACGTTGTTCGCCCTGGACCCCAACGACATCAGCAAACAGCTACGGCCTCAGGTAACGCACACACAACACTTTAAAAGCTGTATTTTCCATTTAAGAGGATTCAAATTTGACAAAACGTCAATATGGGAAGGATAGGAAGGATTTCAAGACAAGCAATTGTATTCACACAATACTGCCTCTGACTAACTGCCACTGCGAACACCCACACAGTCTGAGAGGCTTTTGTAGGAATGTGAGAAATTAAATGATAACACATAACATTTAATATCACAACGCGTCATGATGGACAGTTAAGGAACAAAAAGCATCGTCTCCTCCGCACAGCCTGGTTACTGAGCACTGCAGAGATAAACACACATTTCAAATACTTCATTTAAATACGCCAAATTCAATTATGATATCAACTGTGATATAATTATTATATCCAAGATTCAGCTTGAATATGCAGGAAACGGGCAAAAAATATAGAGCATAATCTCTGCCACACTTCTTTGTTGTCTATTAACTTACAGAACGACCTCATTTCATCCTTTTTTGGCTCATTTTTGGACTCAAGGACATTTCAGAGCACACACCAAAAAAAATTCTGGCGAACAATCAAAGAGCTGTAATCGTACCATAATAAAGTACACTGAGTCATACTAGTTGTTGGGTTCTTTATTGGTCTGGCCTGTACTGTACTTCTTTTATTAAATGTTCAGGCCTTGTACAAGCTAATAATGTACGAGCTGACAAGCAGTTTAATGCCTTTTCGAATTGTGTGTCCTCCTTAAAGGGTCAAAAATATAATAAAATGTATTTATTGCTGCTGACCAAAGATATAGCATTTCTCGCAGAAAAAAAAAGTATATGGAGCCCTGAAACTGACAAAATACATAGATCATAGATTGAATAATATGAATTAATAATACTGTTTGTTAAATGAAAATGGAATGTTCCGTACTAGTTCTGTTGTGGTCCTTGATGAAGGAAAGAGACGTGCACTTGAAGATGAAGATTAGGTAGCTAGCGATGTTAAGCATCCATTATCATTAGATGTAGTGTTTAGACTTAATTAACGAATACCCTTAAACTGAATTTTTTTCTGTTTTAGGCGCCAAACATAAAATCTTTCAACTAAATCAAACCATGAAAATCCCATAAACGTACAAAAACAAGGTCTTATAATATAAAGATTCATCGTTAATCGGGAAAGGGATTTTTACATGATCAAGTTTTATATATTTTGGACTAAATTCAAATGTTTTTTGACAAGTTATTACTTTATTTGCGAGTTATTTATGTTATCTGTTGCTAAAAGCCTCCAACAGCAATAGTGTGAGTACACTGCCAAATACTAAGATCCTAATATGCGCGGCTGTTAGCTCCAATATTTCACTTTTGTCAGCACAAACATATCCACTGTGAATGTGTGGGAGTAAACAGGCACTCTCACGCACACACACACACACATTCACAGGCGTTGGCCCTGTTTCCCGGAGTTTACGATGCACTTATTCAATCATGTTTTTATTGTCCTTGTTTTAATTTGTGTATCTTGTTTTTCTTTGAAGCACTCTGGGGCAAACCTGTTTGTTCAAAGCACTCTATAAATACCCTTGACTTGACCTGATACACACACATGCACACACACGCACACACGCACACAAGCAGAGATGCTAAAGCCTCAGAGACTCAATCTGGTTTTGCTATGCTCCGTCAATAATTGGTCCATATTGCAATCAGTACAATTGCAGCAGTCCGATGAAGGTGTAGCAGGCAGCCTGCAGCGGTCTGGGAATTGTTATCTGATTTAGAGCCGTAATGAGCAGTTATTAGATGCACATACACACACTGTCACACGCAACACAGGCTGTGGCTGTTCGAGTGAGGGTTATGAGTCTTACAGTAATGATAAGACCACCTGTTGTCAGCCCCCTAGTGTGCATTGTAGTGGGAAGGAGCCAACGCAGAAAAATGGCAGTGCGAAGACGAGGGAATAGTCCATCCCCTCCGTCACCATCTGCCCATCACTCTCTCACCCCTCCTCCCCCTTCCTTCCTTTAACTGCTACTCTTTTATTTCTCGTCTTCCGTCATTACTTTCATGCCTGTCTCTCTTCCCTCAATATTTTCAAGGGATATATTTTCTCAGAATTTGGACTTTTTTTTTGAGACAGGCAGCTCCCATTCGTGTCTGAAGTGCTTCCTCCTACATTATTTAGTTATGTTCTTTCCCATGTCTGTTATATAAGTTATGTTGTTTCTGTTTTTCCTCATTTCATTTATTAAATGTGTTCAGTCATTCTCCCCAACGGTGCCTCAGACAACGCTGATACAGTTTAGACTAACATTAATGCGGCGTTTCACCCCCAGCATTTTGAAAAGTACAAAATGTAGCAAATGTTCAAGTGGGCGAGATATCAGGCTCACATATCCAGCGTCCTTGCTCTACACATTTCTTTTCAGGGCCATCTCAGTTTGAGCTGCCCGGGAACCAGTGTGCTTTTTTTTATTCATTAGCTAATGGCCAAAGCGTGGTTTCCATTACTTGCGCTGACGCTGTATGAGATAAAACATCCGAGATTAGCACAGGGCTTTCAAGATGCTGAAACCAGATGGCCGTGTAATAGCACTGAGGTCCTTCCCAAATTAAAGGTTTATGCTTAATTTTCATCACTTGAGACTCTTTCACTGACAGAGTAAGACACTTATTAACCATACATTAACCATACCTACTTTGTACAGTTATTTGTCACACAAAGACTGTCTCTAAGACACTAATGTGAAGAGAGCTTATTATTCGTGCCACGTGTTAATGTGAAATGGAGGACATTTGCTTTGGCAGACTTGTCTTTGTAGGTCGTCGGGCATTAACACAGAAAGCTTCTGCTGCTTCTGCTACTGCCTGGTGCTTTTTGTAAAATACCTGAACTGTGTGGAGCAAATGAAGAGTTGAGTTTCTTCATTAGATAATAAAGTAGACGGTGACTAGTGACTAATGAGTGTCCCTTGGGAACGAATTAGAAGTAACAATAAACTGCTGGTGTTGCTGTGCTTCATTTTATCTCGTCTGTCTTTAGAAACTCAAGTGCATTAGTTAAAACCACAGATCCTACAGGTAATATTTCAAAGCCACTGATCCTAATGATTAATTCTATCATCATAATATATAAAAGTTAGTATTTTAAGTCTAGTTTGTAAAGCTCAATCTGTCTACCAGTACAGTACACGGCAACAACTCGTTGTGTGATTGCTGTTGGTTTATACCCACTCAAGTAAATCAGTTTAATATTGAATATGCAGCAGCTCTCTGCCTGTAATGACCAGTGTGATTATTTCTAATGATGTGGAAACCAATTAGTAAACACAGTGTGGACCTCTGTCCACGGAGCAAAGTTCAGCCATGTGTCACACCGCCATTAAAAAAAGCAGCTACTGTGAATAACACTAAATAGCAAAAGTCAGCGGTAGATGAAGGTATGGACATGTGAAATGTGAAAGAATGTGCACGGTTCTTTTCTATTTGCCTCCCCGCTTTCAGCAGAATTTAGCTTTTTGGAGGACAAAAGCTTGTCACGGGAGTGATACTTCCTCCAGGTGCATTGTGATACACTGTCTTGCCTGTCAGTCTTTGATCCTTTCAACAATGGCATCATCATTAGGGAATTTTGCTGCACTAAGGACCTCACAGTTTCCTTTCTACCACTAACTAAAGAGGCACCGCTGCCAGGGACTGAACTTGGGTCTCTGCAGTCGTCCTCTTTTACTGCACCGACTGGGCGGCTCAGTCTGTGGACCGAACTGTATCTTAAGTTCAAGGTGAACTAGTGTAACTTCAGAAAACACTTTGCACCTACTTGTTGGAATCGAAAAGTATAAGTGAAGTAAAAGGCCCATTATGTGCAAAATGTATGTTTTTTAGTACCAAAATGAATTTGAGTCTGTGGTTGTTGAGTGCACCCTTTTAGAAAGAAGTGAGGTGATGTCATTTACACGTATGCTTACTTTGTATGGTCCATGAATGAACATGATGTATAGACACATTGGTACTTGCAGGATGTATTGCTCATGGGCCGAAAGGCAGACAGCACCGTTCCTGGAGACGCCATGTTGCCCACATCGTATCTGTCTCTTTCTTTTCCCCAGATCGACTGGCTGGCTCCGCAGGACAAGAAGAGAGAGTGTGTTGCCAAAGGGAAGAACAACCAGGTAACATGGATTGAAGCTGACAGAGTGTCTGAGTCGTTGGGGTTACCCTGCCTTGCTCGAGGGCACAGTGGCAGTCGTTTTTTTTTAAGACAGTAGTTTATGACAGCACTTCCCTTTGCTCAATTACATTTTGTCAAGTCAGTCTGGGACTTCTAACTGGAAACCTTCCAGTCATTACATTAGCAGGCAGTGAATGTGCAACTTCCAGATGGGGTTAGGATCAGCAACTTTTTAGGGGGTTCTGCTCCAAAGAGAATCTAAAATGTGAGTACGACTGATGCTGAGGCTTCATATTCAACAGACATCTTCTCGTTCAACTCTCAGCAGGAAATATTCCTTTCATATATAAATTATTATATCATGGTGTACCACGGTCGGAGAAAAACTTAACAAATCTCATAATGATGTTCCACTTATTCCAAATATGATGCTACTTAACAGAGAAGTAACTCTTTGTAATTCAGCATTACGTCATACATTGTCCAGGCATATGAGCCTGCTGTTCTTACCATCAGTTGGGGTGCATTTGTTAACACAGATAGTGAACTGCTTTGCACTTTAGTCTCAGCAAGAGCTCCTCACTGCTTACCCTGCATAATGTACATTTGCAGTCTCCTTTAATATTTTATAGAAACACACAGCGAGCTAAAATGTCTCTCATCGCTCAACAATAACCTTTGATGTGGTTTTAAACAGTAGAGGAAATAGTTCACTGGAGTGCTACAGTTAACTAAAATTGACTCCGAGAAAGAAAGAAAAAGTGAAAAAACATGTTGAGAAATGAGTATCTTTAAAACAGGAGCTTTAAAAATAGTTTTCAAATAGTTATCAAAACTTAATGTTTATTCTAAATTCACCTTTTGAAAGTTGATCATTTGTCTTTCATAAAATACAGCATGATCAAGATAGTTGACTATATATATAGACACATATTTGACAGGAATTGATTTTCTATTTTCAAGAATAACCATATGGTGTTTACACTGGCCGTTGTTATACTTAAGTCTTTTTATTTAATGTTGTAGCTATGGGCCTGTAGTTGAAGCCCGTCTGCCAGACACATCTCATCCTAATTGTCCTCACTGATTGCAGGAGCTGTAAAAATGAATTTAAAAAAAAATCATATTGCTCCTATTACAGCTGTGAGATACAGATATTGTTTTGCTGCTGCGAAAGCAACATCAAGTGGATGCACTGAATTATTCATTCCTCCAGCATCATGTGTGAGCATCTGTTTCCAATTCCTTTCAAAGAGCTTTATTGTTCATCACAGCGCAGACATTGAAGGGCACTACCCATAAAACACTGAATATATTATACTGCTAATTACACACATATCTTTTGAATGGAAACAATCTGTTGTTGTTTTTCTTCAGTTTAAAGGTTACTTAGAAATTGTGGTTACATCATATATTAAGGGATGTCCTCAATGGGACACTTGTACAACAGTGTTGATTGGCTGACTTCATACACCTAATAAATGAAAGAAAAATCTGCTCTAAAAGGCTGCCGGTGTTCAGTGTCTTTGAGGTTTTTTTTAAATATAAGAAGTCACACTGAAGCATTAGACTAAAAGCTAAATCTCAGAGGTGTGTGTGAGCATACCGAGAGACTTGATGGTGGAATAGACTTCACCTTAACAGAGGACAAAAGCTTCACCTGCCCAACAAACAACAGCATTCTAACAATTCCTCCTCTTCGCCTTCACAGACCGAGTGCTTCAACTACATCCGTTTCCTGCAGAGCTACAACCACACGCATCTCTACACCTGCGGCACCTACGCCTTCCAGCCCAAATGCACCTATGTGGTAACTATGCGTGTGCGTGTGTGTGTGTGTGTGTGTGTGTGTGTGTGTTTCCCTTGACAGAGTTATTGTGAGCCTGATGTTGACAGGTGTCAACTTGAGATGTCAGTCATCTGACCTCAGGCTAAGACCACTGTGTGATAAAATGTAAAAATAAATGCAATGGAAAACAGTATCCCATGCTGGGTTAGATGAATGTGTGAATGCATGTGTGTGTGTGTGTGTGTGTGTGTGTGTGCATATATGTGACACTGATGCAATAGGACAACATGACCAGGGATGGAGCTCTGGTCCTCGGAAAGGACAGACAGAGCTTGCAGCTGTGTCATGCGGGTCATAATACACACTGACCACAAACACCTGTGTTCCTGTGTGTGCTTGCAGAATGCCGACTACTTTACCCTGAACACTGCAGCCCTGGAAGATGGGAAGGGTAAATGCCCATATGACCCTGCCAAGGGGCATACTGGCCTCATAGTGGGTGAGTGTCAGTGTGAATTTATGTAAATGAACGCATGTTGTAATGTACTCTATATTCATGCAAAAATATGCATGCGCATGGTGGCAACGGAAGTGGCGTTTTACCCCAGCAATCCAGATGAGTAAGGAAGCTTTAAATATTGATTTTAAACTGTCCACAGCATCAGGATGTCTGGTTGTAGCGTGCTCGGCTGTCAGGATCGATGTTCCGACAGCGGACTCCTGTTCTACAGGATTATGACAGGATAACAACAGTTTCAGAGCAACAGGAGTTTCAGTTTAATGAGTGACCATGTGAACTGGTGACTTTCAGCCGAACTATCATAAATGGTTGGTGTAGAAAATCAACACAGTTGAGTATTTAAAATGGGTTGAAGGCTTTATCGAGGACACCTACATGTTCTGTTGGTGTTTTCAACAGCTCCCGTCACCTCGAGCGACCACGGAAACACTCGGCTGAGGGTCACAAGTTATCACTGTCACTTGTTTAACTGAAACACCGGCGGCGTCCATGAGCTGTGAAACGCGTTGACTAGCACTTTAAATCTCGATCAAGTCAAAACTCTTCATTTATGTCATGGTATTCGACATTCTGTACACGACCACAGATAACGTAGTTGTTAGCATCAAGTGACTTCTGTGCTCGTCACTGCTGGCTGGTGCAATAGGTTTCTCCACCAAATACATGCAAATATCTGGACACTAAATGTTAGGCCACTTGTTAATGTCTTACCCACTCACTAATAGCACACGGATATGTAAAGTCAATTTGTTCATGTTGTATTTGTGATCTTTAGCGGTTAATGCCCTTGCATAGCTGGACAGCGATCTATAAGATCGATCTATAAGAAAATACAAGTTTGAGTGTTTCTGAACGAGTGTAACGATCATTAAAGGATCACGTTAAACAAAAGATGCATGAGCACTTCTCAGTTGGAAACGGGTTCATATCCATCAACACCAAACCAACAGTCAGCTCCGCTTGTTCCATCTCAGCAGTCTGTACAGTGAACAACACCACCATGTTGTTACAGCTCTCGCATAAAATGTCCATCAAATCTCCACAACCCACTTCTGCGGCATTTCCCATCTGCTTTGTAGCTACATGATTGCACTGAGAGTCCAGGACTCCAATTTAACTTTGCATGCTGCATTCACTTCAGTGTGAACAGCTTCTCTCAACTGAAAGGCACCCATTCTCTGTGCTTCTTTGTGCATCCCCGCTAAACCAATGTCCCTCTCTCAGGCCCCGTGCAATTGTGCCCGAAAAAAGAGAATTAAACTAAAGCTTGCATTTTGTTGGTACAGATCAGGAGCTGTACTCAGCAACGCTCAACAACTTCCTGGGTACAGAGCCAGTCATTTTGAGGAACCTGGGCCAACAGCACTACAGCATGAAGAGTGAATACTTGCCTGCCTGGCTCAATGGTAAGTGAAAAAGAGGACATTTAGAAAGACAAAGAGAAAGAAGCTGTTAACCCGCCAACTGAAAGAGAGACAGGGAGGGAAGTAAAGGGGAGGGAACCGATAGAAAAATAATTAAAGTGGTTGTTAGCTTAGAGCGCATTTACTACTCAAAATTCTGAGTCGTTTTTGAAACAATGGGTCTTCAATTTCACACAGAAGTAAACAACAGCAGGCTTTTCATTTCTAGCTCACAACCAACAACTTTGTCGGCTAAAATGACGACCGTTGTTTGCACATTTTATCAGCACTAATGAGCTGTTTGAAAACTGCCTCCAGAAGACTTTTTAATCTTGCCAGCTGGCATCTCGTGTTCAAACGAATGTAAAGGGATCTTTAATCTGCTCTTATTGGCTACATACATGATGTAATGCTAAAAGGCCGACGCTAAAAAGCTGCATGTTCCAGGTCAGTATCCTCACCAGTTACTGGTGCCTGTAAAAGACATAGAAAAAAAGGGTAGCGCTGCTTTCCTATTGCGTTTTAGCTAATCAGCCATAGTTTTATAGTACATAAAGTAATGTAGAGAATTAATTAAAATGTTGGTTAGTCCTAATGTAACCCTGTTTGAATGTGTCTGTGGAAAAACATGAACAAGCAACACAGAGGTTACATCTAAGCAATATGTTTTATTTAGTCTTTGAGAAGGAGAAGGATGAATTTGGCAAAAGTAACGCTATCCCAGGTAATGGGTAGCTAATGATATGCTACCTATAAGTAAGCTACACAGTTCTTACCATCTAGTGGTAGTGTTAGTACTACTAGCTTACTTCTAACTTTTCTAAGTTAGTTGCCAGACATGCTCACGTTTGTAGCCTTTGTTCATTACACTTTTACTCTGTATGTGTGTGTGTGTGTGTGTGTGTGTGTGTGTGTGTGTGTTTTGGTTTTGGAAAGGCTATAAAAGAAGACACTACGTTCCAAACCAGCGTAGAAACTACGCCACTACAGTACTAGAATTCCATGCACAATTGTACACTTGTATTCTACCGTTATGTTCAGAAGAAAATTCAAATTTATGGAAAAATATCTATTCCATAATTACCATTGAATTAAACTTAAATATGCTGCATCAAGTTTTTCCAAGACACTGCGACACTGACACATTAAATATGTATTTGAATAAAATGAATCGCATTAGAGATAACGCTGGCTTCTTTTTAACAGTTTCATTAAAAAAAAAGGTGTGAGCTAGAAACATGCAAAAGAACAAATGGAGAAAAAAAAAATGAGTTGCAGGAAATGAAGCGCAGGACTTGGCTACAGCGAGGGATCGTTATCTTTTGGGGGGGGGGGGGGGGGGAGAAAGGAGTGAGCTACTTGGAGAGAAGTGAAGGGGAGAGAAGAGGATGAAGTCACAGCAGGGAAAATGGCTGATGAAAGAACAGACATTAGGATTGGCGATGAAAAGATAGAGGGATAGGTGAGGGGAATGGAAAAGCGAGGGGAGGAAGGAGCAACATACAGATGAGGCTGAGGTTCGGATCGATGTGTCCGTTTGTTATTCATGCTGATGCTGAGCTTTTATTAAAAAGTAGACCAATGAAGCTAGCCTCACCTTGATTTAAGCGGCTTCTAACCAGCCTGAGAGCATTTAATTGGCCTGGGTTTCAGTGGAGAGTTGTAGTGTCCCATGATGGCGTAAAATACTGCTTCTCAGGCTTTTATGCAGAAAAGAACAGTCCATCTGGAGGGAACGTTGTATCCTTGTAATAAAAAAAAAAAATCCTTTTGCATAAAATAGCTGAATTTAGTCGAATGTCTGTGTCCGCCTTTTTAAAAAACATATCAATCAAAATCTAATGAGGGCTCGATGTAGAGAGAATCTGAGAAGGACGGGAACGGATGGAAGGAAATGAGAAACACAAAATGGGGGCCGCTAATGGAGAGACAGAGAGCAAGAAATGACTGGAGGGGAGATGAGGCGAAGGAGAGAGTGCTGATAGAAAATAGACAGAGAGGTGAGAAGAGGCGGCAGGGAATAAGAACGAGGTGTCAAGCTTGTGTGTCTGTGTGTGTGTGCTGTGATTCAGTTCAAATGCACCTAGAGGCTGAGACAATGTGTAAATACACTTTTTGATACTTACCTCCATGTGTGTGTGTGTGTGTGTGTGTGTGTGTGTGTGTGTGTGTGTGTGCAGAGCCGGACTTTGTGGGTTCAGCCCTGGTGAGGGAGAGCAGCGGCAGTAAAGAGGGGGACGACGACAAGATCTACTTCTTCTTCAGTGAGCGAGCGTTGGAGCTGGACTGTGACACTGAGCTCACTGTGGCCAGAGTGGCCCGAGTCTGCAAGGTAATGCACCAGCTGATAATCAAAACTGATCAGAACAGATTCAATTAGGATTCTAACTAAGTCAAAGGAGCAGTAATCAATCTGACTATTTAGGAATGCACGGGGACATACGAAGCCCAAAACTAGTTTTCTCTGAAAAACAGTGTCCTGCATGCTTGGCTTGCAATCAGCTGTTTTTCTGTTTTCTCCAGCTGTTTTGGCAGCTGTTTCTGAGCACTTAATCATTTGAGACAGCACTTGCTTTTGGGCTTACAGACTTCAACAGGAGATGCCCATATAAGGAGGTAACTGGTAGAGTTGTTCAACAGCTCCAGTATACGTTAAGTAAATACATATAGCTTTAAATCTGATAAATCCCACTTAGAATAGCCTGACGTTACGTACAAAGCTAAGTGAACATAATGGCGTTTCAGTTCAGATCCAACGGCACTTGCTCTGCTTTTGTTTGGATTTTAATGCAAGTGATACAAACTGCCTAAACTAAGAGAACACAACTTTCAAGACAGACTTTCTCTGAGCTGCCATATGCCTGTATGCATCCGTCTAATCATCAACTCCATCTACCTTGTACAAAGTGGTGCGTTGAACATGATGGAAACGTGATACTTTCCGTACAAGTTCCGTGTCAGACATGACATGATACATGTAATGAGAAACATTTTCTTCAAGCTTTTACATTATTACCAGAATAAAAGCACTAAGAAAAGGCTGCACAGAGAAAATAGCTGAGCTTTAATTTGTCCCACCCTGAATTTCAGCTAAACAACCATTTACCAACAATGTGTTATGTGAAGACAATTACATTGACATGGAGCTATTTGGTAATAAATGCTTTCGTTCGCTTCATTAATGGTCTCATTAGGATAACTGATTAGGTCTGATATACCACAGTGATTATGGCCAGACATCAGAGGTGCTTCTAGCCGTGAAGAGTGTGACTGCCTTTTTTTAAATTTTCGTATGGCTTTAGGGACTTTTTAGTCATGTTACAGTTACACATGCAGACATATCTCAGTAACCTTTAAACTGAGCAAAGTAGATTGTTAACAGTCTGAGGAGATGTGTCTAATTAAGTGTACAATATATGCACTGTTTTATGGTAAATGCCCTTTCATGTCTGCGCTGTGATCAACAATAAAGCTCTTTGAATGGAATTACAAACAGATGCTCACACACGATGTGTACTAGAGCAATGAACAGTTTAGCTCCTCCTGCTGATATTGCTGTTGCTGCCGCTGCACAATGTCGGTATCTCACTGCTGTATTATGAGCCTTTGCTTCTTTCTTTTTTTTATTCCTTTTTACAGCTTCTGTAATCACTGAGGATGATAGGAATATGTGGCAGACGGGCCTCTTTTGAGCCCACAGTGTGCTATATAAAGGGACAGCTCATCAATGCGCAATGGTTATTGTATAATTGAATATTATTATTATTGTTATCCTCCATTTCTATGGTACCCGTGAACATCCCAGGGTCTAAATGCTCCTTAAGAGGTTTTTCCAACATGCCAACAGTTCTGTCAGCTCATTCGCATGGAACAGGTTTGTTATTATGTTGCTACAGAAAAGGCACAGTGTAGGGGTGCAAGGGTGCACGAAAGTCTTGGTTCGGTTTGTACCTCCGTTTTGGGGTCACGGTTCGGTACGTTTTCGGTACAGCAGGGAAAGCAGAAATAATAATAATAAATACATGTTTTAGATTTCATAATTTAATTCCAATACTAGGCTGCAGCTTGTGCTCAGGGCAGGCACAATGAACGGAATAAAATGTGCATGTGAAGGCACATTGCAGGGGGGTTTTAACAAATCCAAAACAATTTACATATATTCGACCCATATCAGCCATTGATGAGACCTAACATGTCCTCTCTCAGGGGGATCTGGGTGGTACCAGAACCCTGCAGAAGAAGTGGACCACCTTCCAGAAAGTCCGTCTGGAGTGCTCCCTCCCCGAGCGCCACGTCTCCTTCAACAACCTGAGGGCCGTCTTCACGCTGCCGGGCCAGGACTGGAGGGGGACCACCTTCTACGGCATCTTCCACGCGCAGTGGTGAGTCAGAGCGAGCGCTGTCAGAGACGTTTAATTGAGACTGTAGCTCAATTTAAGTGTCATCCTTGGGAGTTAATTACTACATGTGCCATCTGCTGTCAGGGCGAGACACTACATCACTTTGCCAACATATCAGTTACTTTGCTTTTTATTCAACTCACAGGTCAGCCAGTCAGTTTGATTTGCTAGTTCTAATTATGTACTTTATGTGATTAGGTATTTACTGTGTAATTGGGCTTTTATTATAATAGGCCTTCAACTGACAGTAATGTGAGTTATTTCGAGTGGATATAACTCGAGTGTGCTTGAACATGTTTTAGTGATTTAATGTCACATAGACGTAATGTTGTTTCAGATGATAGTGGACACATTTGCCGGACTGATTTAATTAGGTCCTGCTCTACAAATATTCCATCCTAAATTTCAAAAGATTAGAGATTGAGTCATTGGTTCAATCCAATTATTTACATCACTTCTCATACCTTCCGATGTGAGTATCATGACCCCCCCTTTGTTTTGTCTTGGGAGCAGAAATGCATCCTACCATTGGCTATCTTAGTAGTAAATTACATCTTTGTGAGACTGAGCAGGGAAAACAGACTCTGTTGATGTCCACAGTTCTCGGCTCTTGGTTTATAGCTTGATAATAATTAGTTCAGGGTCAAATCAACTTTTTCGGACTTGTTTCTTCTGAAGAGAAAACTTCATTAAAAGTGTTAATTAAACAACAATGTGGTGATTGGTGTTGACAATAGTAACTTAGTTTTGATAATGAACTGGGGTGTCATTAGTGGAGTAAAGACTGGCATTTGCTGGACCGCTACATAACTGTAATGTGTTAATGAGTTACTTATCAAGAAAGAACTAGGAGCGAGGGCAGCAGGTTCTCTTCAGGAGGATAGTTGGAGACTTTCTCCGTCTCCGGGTAATACCCTTTGATGTCAGTCTTTTGTGTTCCTCAATAAGATATCATATCGCAAAGCGAACCAGCTTTGAACTTCAAGCTTTGTTTCTTCATTCAGAGTTCCTACCGCAGCTGAAAAAAACGCCTAATCCTTTTTCTCTGTGACTCGCCGGGGATTCCTTAAAGTCCCCTGGCATTAAGATAATTGGACATTATGTAAATGATGACTCAAGAGTTCAAGCCATAATCTGACTGAATAGGCCAGCTTTTTAACTTACTAAGACATCAGTGCTGTCCTTTGGTTTAGATGTTCATCGTTTAAATGCCGTGGAACTGCTGCACATTAACAGCACTGTTTCAGACCGGAAAAGCACTTTCCTTACAGGACAAATCTACAGCGTTAGTGGCTGATTCATAACTATATACCTTTTTTATCGATATGTCAGTAACTCTGTTTCAGAGCTAAATAAAATAAGTGTCGTCCCGGCTGATGAGGAAATGGAAATGAAATATATTTGTGACATGAGGAGTGCAAGTATGGCTTAATGTGCATGGGTCAGGCGTCAATACCCAATTTCAGTCCCAAAGTGGGACTGAAATTGGGTTGGGAAAAAAAATAAAAAAAGATCCTACACCCCTTGCCTTACCATTAAATTAAATGCATTATCTGAGTCGCAGCACCAACTGATTGATTTCGGTGGCCTGTCAAGTAAATGTATTACATGTACATCAATTTGTACATCAATTTGCTTCGCCACAGAAAATGTGTCAACACATCATATCATTTCAGCTCACTCAATAAGTGACAGTGTAGGGTGCTGGGTATTATATATATACACAATGCTATGTTTTACCATATTCCGTTCTGTGTGGTACAGCTCACATTCGTGCGTGTCTGTCTGACTCTACTTGTGCTGCATCCAAAAGCTGTTTGCTACTGAAAAGACACATTTTCCACAAGCGTATGACAGGTAATCCGTCTCTCAGTTTGTACCGCCACACATCACTAATTCCTGCCTTGTCGCCATGTTTCAGGGGTGACGTGGACGTGTCGGCGGTTTGCCAGTACCAGATCAGTGATGTGAAGAAGGTGTTTGAAGGATCCTACAAAGAGTACAGGGAGGCATCTCAAAGGTGGGGGCGCTACACCGGTGCTGTCCCTGTGCCACGACCTGGATCGGTAAGAAACTGATATATGTGATATATGATGTTTCCAGGCAACTTTAGGAAGCAAGAGCAACTTTAGGAAGCAAGAACATTATTCTAAAACCTAGGGTTTTTTGTCAACCACTGCACCACAGAAGGAGACATAAGTGGGCAGAGGAGGGATAATGAAAGAGGGAGGGAGGGAAGTATAAATGGGCGGCGTGGGGTACTGGAGCGATGAAAGTGGAAAAGAGCAAAAGCTGGCACGACACGAAAAGCCAAGAAGGTAATGATCCAGGACGAAAGGAAAGGAAGCCGAGGAAGGGATGTGATGGAAGGCGGATTTGAAAGGGAGAGTGAAATAAAGAAGAGGAGAGAAAGGGAAAGAGGGAGGGAGTCATCCCAAAGCCAGCAAGCCATGCCAACCTGTGCCAGCTGCAGCTAAGAAGTTTCCTCACCTCTTTCTCCTTCTTGGCCCTCTCACTCTCCCCTTCGTCCTTTCCTCCATTCCTTTCCTCCCTCCATTTCCCTCCCCCGTCTCTCTATCCTCTGTCTGTGCCGCAGTGTATAACTAACTCAGACAGGGAGAACGGCTACAACAGCTCTCTGCAGCTGCCTGACGCCACGCTCAACTTTGCCAAGAAGCACCCGCTGATGGAGGACAAAGCTCTGGCTCGCCCCCTGCTGCTTACCAAGGGTGTCAACTTCACGAGGCTAGCGGTGGATCGGGTTAGCGCCCTGGACCAGCGGGCGTACAACATGCTGTTCATAGGCACAGGTACAAACTACAGAAACACCAGCAGATACGTCAGAGAGTGAGGAAGGAAGTTGACGAGCAACTTAACGTAACGTTTAGCTAGTGTTATTTGCGGCAATTTCTTTAGAATGAAATGATATATCTGGTAAATGTGACATGAGCAATATTTAAATACATCACTCCGTCCATGAGCACGACCTCTGTCCGAGTCATTTCAGATAGATTTTCATCGACAGTGGTGGTTGTTTTACAATGAAAACTACAACTCCCATGATCCCACAATACTTAACGACGTCAGCAAAGTCCGTCTTTCATTTTAGTTCTGATTGAGAGACCCCACCAGTGGCAGAAATTACATTATATGCGTTTTAAAGTGAGCATACTTAAATTCAGTTCAAGTTTTTGGGACAAAATAACCTTTGTGATAAATGATATATATGCATACATACATAAAAGCTTAAAACTAGAATTTGTTTGCAGGGTTGTTGTATTGGATTGCATTATACAGTATATGGTGTTCCTGTTACTTTGCCCACCTCCTGTAGCATGATGTACTCTCGATGTGGCAGAGAAAATGTATTGTAGGTACACAGCCTTTGCTTATATTCCCCTAACTGTGTGTGTGTGTGTGTGTGTGTGTGTGTGTGTGTGTGTGTGTGTGTGTGTGTGTGTGTGTGTGTGTGTGTGTGTGTGAGTTGCACACAGTATTTGTTGAAGAGATGAAAGCTTACAGGCCATGGCGGCAGACAGGGACAGGTACTGGCATTAGGTATGGTGGCGCAAAACAACATGCCATCTGGCCAGACTTCAGCTGGGTTTCAATTAAGGACTTGATTTGCATGCTGAGATCCATCTTCATGCATCAAAGAAAACATCTACGTACGCGCGACTTAATTAATATCTCCAGTCGTAGCCATCGGGCCCATATGCAGGTGTCCTGTTTTGGCACGGACCTGGAATCCCTCACGGAGCCTTAATCCTTAATAACACAGATCCGACAGTGGATTCCAGGGAATGTGAATTTGAATGCAGCCCATCTCATGAATGGAGAGAGACTCAACTACTTACCATTCAGATCACTGCAGCGACAGAGCGACTGTGGAAACTGACAGTGCGACAACAGCGGACTCGGGGCTTCTCTGCTGGCAAGCAGGGAGGCCAACCCGGACACACACAAATCAACACACACACACACTCACAAACTGATACGCACAAACGCACAGAGATGCACACACTTATGCTTCCTCAGCCAAGTGTAGTCATCCCCACTTGTCGTGCTTCACAGCACAAACTCAACAGGGCCCTTGGCAGACATGCGCTCATAGTGCCAATTGGGCTGTGGGGTTGATTAGCTATTAGCTGCAGCATAGCGACAGCTGATGTGAAAAAAAGAGAAAGAGGGAGCACTTGTCGAGACTGTTTCTTCAGAAAAAAAACAGGCTACAGGATTGAGGGATTAGCCGACACTGGTCCCTGACACCGCGAGTGGCGAGTGTGATGATATGTGGCTTGCTATGTGTGTGTGTGTGTGTGTGTGTATGTATTTCCCTCAAACCTCCCGTCGGCTACCGAGTTTTCATATTATCTGTGACAGTCTCTTAATCGAGAGGGCCACACAAAAAAGTACATGTCAGCACGTAATACTGTTCCATCCATGGATACACACACACACACATCAAGGTCACCCCACCAGCTGTGCCTGAAACGCTTTTCATCACAGGGGATCTCAACTTGTTCACAATGCCGTACATGAAAGGAGGCGCATAGGATCTCCTCCTCCTCCCTCAGCATCAGCTCCCCAAACACCTCATAAAGAAGTCTGCAAATGTCTCTGATGATATTATCTTTACCCAAGGTCTTAAAAGGCCAGGAACAGCATGTTGACTCCTTAAAATTCACCTTTAGATGGTTTTCTTGCTGAGCTGGACTCGGCTCTGGCAGGAGAAGTCCTTTTCCTTTTCCTTTTCCGTCTTTCTCAGTTGCAGAGTTGCATGACATTCTAGTGCAGCTGGCGTTACAGTTTCACAAATTGAAGTTGATGAAAGTTGCAGACAACTTCGCATTAGTTTTCTTGTAAGTAACAGCAAACTTTTTCAGTGGAGAGTCCTTGTCTTTTGTAGACTTTTTACATCAATATTCAAATCAATTGTTATGGCATCTTACCATTCATATTTGAATGAACTTCTATGCAATCACAGGTGCATAGTTTGTGCATATCATTCATTTTTAAGTAAAATACTGTGCAGTCACAGCAGGTGTTTGTTTGCAGATCCTTAATATTTATATTCATTGGTATCTAGTCACAGCTGTACAGGCAAATTAATTAAATCACATTTTCATTATTCAAATTAACTGGTGTGCAGTTGCAGCTGTGTGTAGTATCTACATATTTCTTAATATCATATCAAATGATATTCAAATGAGCTGTTCCACGGTCAAAGGTGTATATCTTTTGGGAAGTCTGTTTTGTATCGGGAGCTGAGTGCCGAAGCGCAGATCTGTTTGAAGATGGGTTTCTATTCATGCCGTGAAAACTTTGCCCTGATCAGATACAGAAAATCGAGTGTGCTAAAGTGAACTTGAAGTGAAAGATTGACTCAACAGTGGTGAAGTGAGCTGACTCCTCCTTCCTCTTTCTCTCCTGTGTGCTGCAGCGGAGGGCTGGCTGCAAAGGGTGGTGATCCTGGGCTCCGAGGCCTACGTGATAGAGGAGATCCAGCTGTTCGAGACGGCCCAGCCAGTGGACAGCCTGACCATCTCCCACTCCAAGGTAAGGACAACGGGAAAGCATGTTTAGAATTTGTTATTCAAAGGGAATTGCAGCAGTTTTACACACGCAGACTTTTACACTATTCGTAGGGAACCAAAAACAGTTGTGTAATTACCTTGTGGCTCTGGATGAACTTTGTCAAGTCTGAGAAAATATCCCCTGATGATGTCGCCTGGGTTAGCTGTGATAATGCTCGGTTTAATGGAAAGGCTGCGTTACCTCACAGGCAGGGGTCTGACAAAAAGATGCATGTAGCGTTTTTGGAGCTTGACCCAATCTAGAAGTAAAACGTCAGGATATCTCAACCTCTGTTTCGTCAACTGTGACCACCTCCCCAGGTTGGAAGATATTTATAGCACTGCCGCACTCAATGGCATCATCCTCATTTTCTGTCATCTCTCTCTACTATCGCTATCTGATGAAGTTAAAAATGCCCCAAAAATATATATGAAAAAGATGGCAGTCACAGAGAGGGGAGAGACGTGATACTCATTTCATCATCAGGAGGGCATTCGCACTGTTGCAGTTGGTTTTACACATGAAATTTGACACATGAAATGCAAAAAGAGAGAGAGCTTGAGAGAGAAGTCTAAATCCGGATTACTTTCTCACTTTCTCACACAGCAAACCAATCACAGCGTAAAGTCGGCTTGATTGGCGCTTTGTCTGTTTCAGACAGATAAAGAAATTGTCCGATCCAGCCCTTTAATTCTGATGTCAGCAAATTGTGGGGAAAAGGGGTCTAAGTCCCTGCAGGAACCCCTTTTAAGATACATCGCTTCCATTTAGTTAAGCAAATTGAGACTTATACTTTCAAGTCAAAAAGGAACGTCTCAAAATGCATTAAGGCTTTGTGTTGGCATTTCAGTTGATTCATCTCTGTCTGGATACATTTTTCTTAAGAACATGTTAACGGACCAGATTCAATTCAACAAATTGAGGCAAGAGCGCTTTTATTAGAAATAGAAGAAAGCAGCTCTTCCTTTTTTTTGATCGTTTGAGCTTTCAGCTGCTGGTGCTCAGTATAGTAAAGCATAGCCATGTGCACGTAACTTCATGGACTCCTAGATGCATTGTTTTCTGTCTTTTAGAGAGATAAGAACTCTTAATGGTCTCTCAGGGGGAAGGTTACTCAAGTTTTGTTGGCACAACTAGCTTGGTTCTTCCTCTGATCATACCCCTCGAAAGCATAGTTCCGGGGTTCCATTAGCTTGCTCTGCTGTTGCATCACTTTTTCATTTTTATTCAATGATACCAGTATGATCTTATCTTCTGCCGTCCTGTTAATACCTGTTTTTGCCAGACACTTACAATCATGGATCCACTGACAGGCAGTCAGCCCGGTGCCACTGGCCCGCTGTCACTCAGCAGATGTTTTTATTAACACTGCCCTTTTTCAGATCAAGCGTCGCCTCATGAATCCAAAACCCTCTTCACAATAACAGTAATTACAATCCCTCACCTCAGTGGGGATTTGAACCTCTGCCCCTGTTGTTTTCTCAACGTCCCTGTCCTGTCAACCGAGCGTGTGTGTTGACACCGGCCGTGTCCCCGTGGTTCTACAATGGCTTGTTCGCCAATCGATGCAGTTTTTGACGGGGCGTTCCCTGATCTAAAGCCCACTGCTTATCTTATTAACGCTGGCTTAGCTGCGACCGAGAGTTTTTATAACAGCTTTCGCAAAAGGAGTGCAATCCAGATTGGTTTGGAAGAGGGTCAGACGGGTGAATGTTATTGTAATTGAGAGTGATTATCCCATTATCTACTATAACTCCTAACTGAGTCACTCTCCCTTCCTCTCTCTCTCTCTCTCTCTGTTTATCTTTCTCCTTGTTTTTCATCTCTCTGGTTTCTGTCTTTGGGTGATGGCTTGGATCTGTTCTTTGTCTTCCTCTTCTTCTTCCTCTCTCTGTGTTTGTCTGTAGAAGTACTTGTACATCGGCTCTCGTTCGGAGGTTCTCCAGCTGCCCTTGGCCAACTGCAGCCGCTATCAGTCTCAGCCAGACTGTCTGCTCGCCCGGGATCCCTACTGCGCTTGGGACAGCGAGGGTCGGGCCTGCGTCCGCATCGACCTCCACCGCGGGTGAGACCAGTACCTATGTGCACCCAAACATCCATACTATAAACTAAACATACTTAATATGAAAGGCTTGTTATTTGATATTTTCAAGGAACCTGAAAGTTGCAAATATTGGAAAAGCCCCTGAAACAGTATTTAGATATTATGTGCCCGTAACTCTATAGTGAAACCATACTAATAAAAGTCTATTAGCTAGATATAAGCAGCTCTTAACAGAAGAGTGATGCATCTTTTACTGCAGCTTTTGCAGACTTTCCCCCTGAAGCTGTTGCGTAACATTCTCCTACTTTACATGCTGTGATGTCCCTTGTGGGGAAACTACATTAACAAGCTGTGGTCAAAGCTGAATAACATTCACCGAGTTGTAATATAAGACTTGTATCCTGTATTTGTCTATTTAAGGAAATCTGCAGCTATTTAGTAGCTAAATTATTATGTAAATGTTTGTTTTGATGTGTTTTCTATAGATCCGGGTTATTCAGGTTTGATTATTATTATTATTATTATTATTACACAGTTGTCTGTAGAACTTAGCGTGACCGTTATTAATCTTCCGCTCTTATTTTTGCCCTTTCCCCTCCAGGTCCACCTCCTCCCTGTCACAGGATCTGATGCTGGAAAGGTTTAGCCGGGGGAAAGCCAAGTTTGATAAGCCCGTCTCCATCCCCAGCCCTGGTGAGTAAGGGGCAACACCTCAGTAGTGGCCCCTTGTGGGAATTGATTGTCAGTGCAGAAGTCAGTAGCAAGTAAAGAGAATGGACTTGGAGTTAGATTGAGCTGAATAAATTGAATTAAGCAGAAGACAGCTGGCTGGTGTGGAATATGAATTGGAATTATTATGGCTGACACCTAGCCACCTGTCCTTTTTCCTCTGTCCTACACCCCCTTCTCAAACACTCCTCCTCTTCCTCTGCAGAGCACTCCCGTCTGAGGAACGTTACAGTGGTGGTGGGGTCTGACATGGTGCTGCCTTGCCAGCTGGTCTCCAACCTGGCTCAGCCCTTCTGGGTCCTCAACGAACGTGAGCTCCAGCTGAGTGACCCCGAGGCTGGAGGGCCGCGCTTCGACCGGACCCTCAAAGCTCTCGTCGTCCCTGAAGCGGGCCAGATGCAAGCGGGCCGCTATATCTGCTACTCTGAGGAGCAGGGGGTCAAGTTTCAGACAGAGCGCTACCAGGTGGCCGTAGTAGCCAGCGCTCCGGTCTTCATGGAGGCCCGTGCTCCAGACAGCAGCATGGGGCTCTTCTGGGTTCTGGTCATCACCCTTGGAGCGGCGTGCCTGCTGCTCCTTGTAGCGGCTCTTTACTTGCGCAGGAGGCTGAAGCTGGCCCTGGGAAAGGGGGCTGATATGAAGCCTCTCGAGAGCACCCTGGTCTACCCCATCACCCTGCCCAAGGAGCCGCCCACCTTTGTGCCCAGCAAGATGCCCTGCGACGAGGACCGCTTCTGGGAGACAGGCGCCAACTACTACTATTCAGACGGCTCGCTGAAGATCGTTCCCGGTCACGCCCTGGGGCCCAGCAGTGTCAGCAGCACGGCGTCGCCCAGCGCCATTCCCGGCCAGCCCATCCACTCCCCCAGCCGTCTCAGCCTCACCAACATTCGAGGCTCAGGTAGCAATGGCTACATCCGCCTCAACCTGAGCACAGCAGGGGAGGAGAGGGCTAGCGGGGTTGGCGCTGGGGGCGGCGGGCTGGGAGGCCTGGGCATGGGCGGGAACGACTACTCCAGCCCCTTCAAGGAAGAGCTGAGGCGCACTCTGCAGCAGAGAAGCGTGCTGCCCGACGCGAACCCCGAAGAGTCGTCCGTCTAGGCCTGTCCTCCTCCGTCACCATTCCCTGAGTTGGAAAAACAAAACAACCAACCTACCTCCCTCCTTTTGAGGATGCCTGCTCTCTCTCTCTTTCAGTGACACGCTGTCAATTCCCCGTGCTCTCTCTCTCTCTCTCTCCCGCTCTGCCAATGCCTGTTTGGCTCACTGTTGACATTTATAGCACACAGCATGTTAAATATAAACACTCATACACTGTGTTCGCCAACATGCACTCCTATAATTATTATGTTCTGGGCAACATGCAGTCACTGTTGTGGCTTTTTCTGCTTCCAGTGTGCAAATGCCACTTGTGTACATTTTGTATTTAAAAAGGCTGAACGCAGAGGAGAACACCTCAAGCATTGAAATCAAACAAATGGTGTTACATGTTTTCTGAAGGGCAAATTTTCTTTTTTTTTTGTTGAGTGGACCAAGAGGCTTTCAGCCCCTGTGCTGAAACCAGTTGACGAATGGCAAGAAGCAACTGACTGGAAATATTGAACTGATGCTCTGTCCTGTTCCTTTGAGACTTTTTCAGCTTACTGCACTTAAAAACTGGAAGCGTGTCTTCCCTTTTTGTATTTGTGAGCCAAGAGTGCGAGAGCGGTATAAAAAAGACGAATTAATCTCGAAGCAAGACGACAATCATGTCCCCGTAGCAGGAGCTCTGCGAGGGACAGAGAGGAGACGAGAGAGAGCAAGAGACAAAGAGAGAGGAAATTAAATGGAAAATGAAGTGAATTGGCGTGAAAGATGCAAGGGGGGGGGCTTTGAATGAAGGACAATCTCTCAAGACTTTCTCTGCTCAATTTAAATCCCCCCGTCCCATGTTGTATTTAGCCCCGGAGAAAGTCCTTGATCCCTTCCACTTTCATTTGTTGTGATGGTTGGTTTGAATTAAGACATTGGTTGTTGTTCTTTTTCTATGTCTTACCGACTACAGCAGTGTTCAGACGATTATCAAGTGACGAATGGCTCCACTCTGTGAGTGACGATGTGAGGGCTTACATTCCTCGCTCAAGCCTGCACGGTGACCTTCAAACGCACCTTCAAGTCCAATATACGAGAAGTGCACTCCAAACGACATTCATCAGAGTCAAAGTGTGTCACAGATATGCCTTTTGTCCGAGCCCTTTTGGACGTTTTGTTCATCACTGTAGAAAGAACCGGCTATTTGCATTCAGCTCATAGCAGCGGAACAATAACTGCACACTTAATTCCAAATTGAAGCTGACATGAAGACATTAGGCAAGGAGAATGTAGTTGAACCGTCACTGTTGCGACCGCTGTGGATGTCTCAATAAGTGCTTTATATTGTGTGTGTATGGTGAGGGTGGTAACTTGCACTGCCAAGAAGGAAACGACCCCTCCTACACACACCGACACACTCACAGTCCTCTGAATGCCAACCATCCTGGACGACAGTGTGTTTGTGACGCACCCTTACAACCCATGAACCCCCCCTCCCTCTTACCGATACCCAGAGACTGACCCGGGGCTACTGTGGACTTATACAGAGGAAGAGCACTGTAAAACAAACCAACACAAAATGAATACACACACACAGTGTTGGTGGACAAATGGACAGACAGACTGATTGCTGCCATGCCGACAAACCGCTGGCTCCAGGCGGGAAACAGCTGTGAACCAGTGAAAGGTATTGTTCTACTTAATTAAATTCATGCAAACAACGATTTCCAATGTATCTTTCTGGTTGTAGTGTAGTGTTGAGAATTATTTAGTTAATTTATCTTTCTGTCCCTTTGCTCAACTTATCACTAAAAGGAATAGGCAACATTTTGTTTCCTTGTTGGGAATTAGATTAGAAGATCGATACCCCTCTTCTATCTGTCCATTAAAAATACAGCTACAACCATGAGACGGTTAGCTAAACTAGCATGAAAAACTGAAGGCAGGGGAAAACTTGGCTCTTTCCAAAGTTTTACAAAGGCTCATTAAATAACACATCTTGTTTTTCAGTCTTCACTGAACTGAAGTGTAGAAACAAGGTTGCTAACCTCGCCAAAGTCACCGCTCCTGGCCAAGACATTGTCTGGCATGTAACCCCCCCCAAACTGCTATTTGTTGTTTAACACTAAACAAATTAGTTATTATGTCTTAATTAGTGAGCTTTAGAGATGCTGGCAGGGTTTGTTTTTCCCACTAGACGGAGCCAGGCTAACGTTTTTCCCTAGTTGTCAGTCTTTGTGCTAAGCTAAGCTAACTGGCTCCAGTTCCAGATTTAGCTGACAGGCTTGTGAGTGGTATTAATCTTCTCATCTCACTCTCTGCAATAGCGCAAATGTGTGCATCTCCCAAAATGTATCTTCATTAATGATGAGACGATACAGTTTATCTTGCAGAGACTAGCATTATCCGCGGTTAGAAGACTGATCTTATTCTAATCGTACAAAGTGGTATTATTACAGCATATTGCCTGTAGACTAAAAAAATCAAACACCAACACTAGCTACGTAAGGTGACCAGGTTTCCCGCATTTTTGTCGCTTGTCCCGCCTTCCACATATTGAGATGATGTCCTGTATTTTCATTGGCTCTAGTTCTCAAAAGTCAAACCACTGCAAGACAGATTTTCTAATATCTGTTTGTTATCCAATGGCAGTGAAGAAGTCAGGGAAGGCTGTCATTGAGGCTGCGTTTGATGTCCATCAAACTGTGCACACGCGGGTCAAGTGCAGGTTAACCTGTCACCCTGTTTGCTATGGGTAAAATTGCGAGTCACCACAAAGTCACAAGCTATACAGAGTTAAACTTTAACTTTATTTTGTGCCCACTGTATTTCATTTAAATAAAATACATTCGTTAAGTCCTTCACATGCACTAAAGGCCTATCCTGTTACCTGCAGAGTCTATTGTGTGCTACTGAATCAACCAGAGGAGATATTACCAGCTAAAAATAGACATGTTAGATAGACATTATATAAAAATGTGAGACCACCTCTCAGCATTGTTAACGTGGCCAGCATTGTACAGCAAGTACAGCCCCCCAGAACTGCTAGCATGTAGACGCCTACACATCTTACTATGTTCTGCATCATTTGACCAGTCTCCTTCTCATCAAAAGTTGTCCTTGTGCAAACTTTTATTAAAGTCTTGAGGGGACAGGTGCATCAGAAACTTTCTTGGCAAATGATAAGAAAAGGACCTGCACTGCCTGAAGCCTGCGACTACAAGATTTCATAAAGGAGAAAACGTTTCAATCTGACAAGGATCAAAATAAGTTGACCTTAGGGAGACCTTTGTCAGCCTGAAATATCTGTTTAATAACAATGTTCTGCTTGCAAGAGTCAGACAGTAAATGGGACCATTTCATTCCAGTCTTCTACTCAGAACTGGAAGATAACCAAATGTTTTATTAATTACTGCAAATTCTCAAATACCCTCATATATTGCTTTCTAGTCACCTACTCAGGCGGGTATAATGAGGTGTTAGTATGAACTATCAGAATAAATTATCCAATGCACCAACTGCCCAGAATGTGATGTGAAAATAAACCTTCTTTCTGATCCAATTTCAAGGAAACTTTAAAATTCAGCGAACACCACGCACATATGTTTGCTGTTACTAAATTAACATTATTTTGTCCTCTTTCTGTGCTTTGTCCATCAGAGGTGGCTTTTTGTTTTTGGGACATGTCTGTCGGGACCAGAGGAGCACAGCAAGAAGGAAGGGGAGGACAAAAATACCTTGTGTTTGCCCCCACTGTGTACAGAGCGCTGAGAGAGATGTAGAATATCAAAAATGATCCCAAGGTTGAAGAGGTACTCAGCCATCAGCACTCCATCTTAAAGTTGCATGATCCTCTGCAAGTGGACTGCACATCTTTGATATGATCATCCTTGTACAAGTGCATCATTTTGATCGGCCATTTTTTGACTTTTACAGACACTAATGTTGTGGAACAATAATGTTCTCTTTGAAAAACAAATATATATATATATGTCTGATTTTATGGTTCAAGGGTTGTACAGGAATTCATGGCTGCATTCATGTTTACTTTTGTTGTGCCTCTTCACCTTTTGGAAAAACCAAAGTAGACTGCAGTTGCTTTTGTTCTTGTTGAAATAATTAAATTGATTTGATTTGATTCCAGATCGATATTTAAGTCTCAGCAGTCCGTCCACTTTGTTACACTGAGCTGATGTCTGCAACCTCTCTGCATATTGTGTCTGCAGCTAAATTTTCCCTCAAGCAAAATGTCTTAAGGCTGATGGACTTCCTGTTTTCTTCCTTTCTTTATGTCAGTGGTGATCTGCTGGACCCAATTCTTTATGAAAGGCTGAGTAATGTACCAAAACTTTAACCATTATTTAATTTGTCAGCTCCTAAAAACCAAATATGTATCTGTTGATTCAAAGCAGATCAGTGATAGAATGTGCCCACTTTATCTTATTACATCCCCTTAAGCATTTAGCTAAAACATGTCAGCTCTTTACACTGGTACTTGGTTATGTCTTATAAAATATTTCCCTTTTACAATCAGGCCTTTTATTTAATAGAACATGTTGCAAAGAACAAAAAGATAAAGGAATAGAGGTCTCAAACTACAAAAAAATGCATGTGTAATGTACTTTATGTGCATTTCTTCAGTTCTTACACATTTGTTTGCTCATAATATTTCCTCCCACACATGGCTTTAAGTTCTGCTGTTTCTCGCATTATCATTTGTATTATTCTATTATCAACCTGATTTTATTTTGCCCCATTTTTGCTTGTCTGTTATTGATCTTTTATGTTTGTTTTTAAATATGTTAAGTAACTTATTTCACTTGTACAAATGTGTTGGTATTTATTATCATTGTACATATGTCCTTATTTTTTATATGTGTGTATATATACACAAATAAAAATAGAGATATGCTCAAGGTGTGTGATTTTGTTTGTTAAACAGGAAGTTTACTAGTCATAGAAAGTGCTACTTATCCTGTGAAAACAGGAGTAAAAGTTTTTTCTGTGGCTGTGGAGAAGCTTTGTCGAGTCTGAGAAAATTACCCCGATGATGTCATAGTGATGTCATCAGAGTTATCTCGGCCTGAGCTTGGATTTAACGATCATTTATTGTCATTATGCATGATGAAATTTAGTTGTAGCCCATTTGTAACACAACAAACACATGGCAAACAAAACAAAAACAGTAGTACATTCCTGTAGTGCGTTTTTTTATTTGCATCATAAGGAATGAAAACAGCAGCAACAAAAACAATTCTCTGGGCAGATAATATGACCGACATCTTCAGGAAAAACATTGTCCATCAACTTTGACTGTGTTTGAGCACCAAGCATCATGATGTAAACAGAATCCACCTCCTCTTGTCCCACCGGAGTCCTGCGCTCTGTCCTGCTGTCCGCCCATCAGCGTGCAGCTTGATCCAGGATGAACAATAGAGCCACGTCTCTGTGAAGATATGGGCTCAACGGTCACCGATGGCCTGCTGCTGGGTTCGCCTGAAGTCTTATTTCATCCATCTGATTTTTCTGCATCGGGCATCAGACAGCCAGCATTAGGCTGGGTAGTGGAGTAGCCTTAGGTTCTAGCTGGGTTAGCTTAGCTTCCATCTCGGCTCTGCTATAATAGGAGGCTTCCATTATATACTGGGGGCACACAGATGGTCCAACAAAAAGAAGCTTTTGGGATGCATTATGGGGAATGTAGGATCCAGTGTTTAGCTTCGCTCAGGATATCTCGTCCTCTGCTGCTTTAATTTTGACCATTCATTTTTTTTATTTGACTTATGAGTCTCCAAATTTTATGGAAGACTTAAACTGAATCACTCAAGTACTCCTTCAACATACACAACATGTAGGTAAATACTGGAGAGTGTTTAAATATTTTAAACCAATGATACTTGTACCTTAAGGGATACTTATACAGTTTTGATTGAGACCAAAAATATGTACATCCACAAATCTGTTTTAAAGAGGAAAATAAACACACAAATTACAAACTGGTGTTAGACTGATCTTTATTTATTGTCATGATAACTGGCAATAGGCTGACTCCATAAGACACAAGAGAGCAGAGAAATGAAATAAATTGCTGTAAGTGCTGGGTTCTGGGTGCTTCTGTCACTCACAGTGGTGGTAGTAAAATACAACAAAGAACGTGACAAGCTGTAACATCTAATTCCACACAATTCTTATGTCTTACATGAAAGGATATTGTAACACTATCCACTTTTAGGATGACTGTTGAAATCAGCTCAAATCAACACATTTTGAACAAGGCGGGTGGTGGTAATGGGTACTTGAGCTTATTACACTTAAAATGAAGACAGTTATCCAGTAGGATCATTTGAAATATAATTCCTGGAATAAAATGAAGGCATTGACGCATAAAAAAAAAACTACCTTAGAAAGTTTCATAAGCCTTTGTAGAAACATCCTAAATCACAACCCAACATTTAAGGATTAGTTGGGGATGATTTGGAAATGTAGGCCAGACCAATAAGACTCCGTGCATCATTGTGTTGGTAATTCTATTTTCTAAAAATAAGACTTTCAGTTTTTCAAATTTTACACATCTGATTTTGGACAGGAACTCATAAACACAGAGGCTTATTTCACCTGTGAATGTCTAGACTTGTTTCATTTGCCCAGCCTGTGCTGCACAACAACAACAGCAGTCAAGCTTCCATCGACTTGCACAGCCTTGCCTGGTGTCAACAGAAGAAGCCACATGCTTCATGTGGTCGACAGTCCCAGCTGTGGAAAGAGGCTCTCAGTTGCATCTGATCTCAGTGTACTCAGCTGTGCCACAGATTTCAAAACCTCACAAAAGAAGGAACTCTGTTTGTTTGTGACTGGTGTGTGTGGGCAGGCTTTACAGAGCTTTTCAAGACTAGACCACAGTTCACCCACCTGTTTGGGCTTATTGATTTTTGAGTTTGCTGTAAATTATGTCAAACTATTGTGAACCACGTGAAATATGGTAATTTATGTCTGAATATATTATCATCATTTGATTTGATTCTCTTAAATCTTAATCTATCTATCTATCTGTCTGTCTGTCTGTCTGTCTGTATGTTTGTATATCTATCTATCTATCTATCTATCTATCTATCTATCTATCTATATATATATATATATATATATATATATATATATATATATATATATCCATCCATTCATTCATTCATCCTGCTTTGACTTTGGTCACGTGGTATCTTATCTGGAATTTCTATTGGCCAGTTCATATTAAACGAGTTCCGCTCTCTTTCAACCCCTGACAAATACGGAAGTTAGTTCCTCCGAACGATACACTTCCTCCGTTAGTATCGACATTATTTTAACAATGCGAGTCGTTAGTATTCACAATATACATTTTTAAACAAGACTAAATAATATACAGCGTGTTTTGAATTCGTATACGGGTTTATTTAGAAACGTTCATTACTTTTTTTTGCGGAGGGATACATACGTCGCCGCTGGCTCTGGCGTGGAGCGTAATTTGAATCTCTCTCCTGCCCCCTTTTCTAACGCTTGTGTTTTATAGGAACATGTATTAAGATGTCAGGGCTTTTTATGACACAATAGTCCCTACATGTGTTTATATATTTATATATATTTAATCAGAAAACACGAGGTAAGTGTTTCACTCGCTGTCATTCCATTATCTTCAACACTAAAGGCACTGTTGCTACTCTTAGCCAACGTCGCGTGTGAGGAGAAGGGCATGAACAACTTACGTTAGCTTGAAACAATTTGCTTTATCATTAATATTCTATGATAGTCGGCGATATAACACAGTTACGTCCCTGGCAGGAGTCTACAGCAAAGTTAGTTGTTACACTGGTGTTAAACCGTACCATTTAGTTCATTCTATAAGGGCATTTATTATGAAGCTAGCTGTAACTAACGCTAACTTAGTTTTGTTATGCTACCGGGGATTCAGCTAACTATATTAGCATCATGCTAAGTCAGTGGGACGTCACTTTTAGCAACCATATAGACTTTGACGTGAAGTTGAAAGAAATGTTAAATGTATATTGTCAGTTGACATTTCCTACAAGCATTAGACTGATTGGAACAAAATATAAAGGGAATATAGGATAGATAATAGTCCCCTGTTGTCATTCATTTTAAGTTTTCCCTAGTGACTTCTAGTAACACATGTTCTTGTGGTTCCGCTGCTCTTGATTTATTAGACATAACGTTATTCAATTTGTCAACACAGATGGCTACCGCGGAGATGAACACCGATGGAGATCAGACGTTGTCCCCCTCAGAAGAGGACTCTCCTCCAGTTTTAGACGACACCTCAGTCCCCCTGAACTTCTCCGAGCTCACACCTAGTCAGTTTGGCATCTCTGTGCAGAGTTTTACTCCAGCGTCATTATCAAATAGCAAAGGTGAGCGGACAGGTCTTTGTTTGACGCTAAACTGCATGTGCATTGCCTTCCATAGACAGAAATGTTTACTTTGTATTCATTCAGCCACCAACGTTGGAAAACATGAGGAATTATGTATCTACTCTAGGGTTTGACATGGTCTGTAATATTAGCATTTAAACCATCCAAAAAGAAACACTCATGTTAAATCATACTACAGTGACCAAAGTAGTAACAGACAACTAATGCATAAAATCGGAGGCAAAAGACATTTGTATTTGTCCGTATATGGCACCAATCAAGTGTTACTGAAGTGGCATTCTTCTCCCTCTTGTTCTAGATAAATCTCGTCTAGCACAATTAAAGGTGAGGCGGAGGTCCAGCGTTGGTGTCCGCGGCTCCCCAGAGACAAACTCCCTCATCCGCTTCATGGCACAACAGAGGATGAAGACTCCACCAACCTTCCAAACCCCAGAGGTGAGATCCTTCATGGGATACATTTGAGCAGATCTTGCACACCTTTGTCACATCCTATTCCTGTGTGAGGCAGTATTTAGATTGCAGTCTGGCTTTTGGTTGGCTCTCTGGGTTCAATATTGAAACTGACATATATTACTGATACTGTACGTGATGATACGGCACACTTTCTGTAAAGAAATGTTCTGTACTGTTTTCCCTTGTCGGATGCAAACGAGGATTGCCATCACTGCGGCAACTACAAATAGTTGTACATACATGGCGGTGTTGCACATCTACAGCTGTCAACAGAAGTTGCTTTGACTCACTCTAGCTTCAAAAGGGGATTACAGACAAGTTGATACACATTAATCTCCATAGACATACAGTGAGGTATTGAGATTTTTAAAGCTTCTCAGCTTCAGTATAAGTATTACTATATCCTGACCTAAGGGGTTGACAGGCCATCATGTCCGGCTTGTTTAACACGTGTTAGCTTGTCTGGGGTTACTGGTATTGTGTCCAGATATAGACCTTCCAAGCAGCATTAAGCTGCTGTATGCAGACATCCGTCTACGTATCACGCCCAAGACGTGGTCACATCAACAGTAGCGTTTTGCATCAGCATAAGCTTAAGGCAGCAAATGAACAGAGCAGAAGAGAAAAGCATGGAGCTCCCGTTGTGACAGTGGCATTTGAATGACAGGAGGACTTCTGGCAAATGCTATTAAATGCAGCAGTATTATGTACCGTGGATTGATGTTGCACTAAAAATTCAAACTCTGCGGCTCACCACACGTGAATGTAGCAGAAACTCTGCATTAAAACACACATTCTGCCACATATGTAGATCAAATAGCTTATGATATATATATATATATATATATATATCTATCTATATCTATCTATCTATCTATCTATCTATCTATCTATCTATCTATCTAT